AGATTTGACAGCTTTGAAAGCATAATCTTCTTTCGGTCCCCAGTGCCATGGTGCCTTATTGTCTAGGAGCCTGTGCAAGGGTTCCGCTACTGTGGCTTTGTGGGGTAGGAATGACGCGTAGAAATTTAATAAACCCAAGAAGGCTTGTAGCTCTGATTTTGTAGACGGCGTGGGAGCCTCGTGAATAGCTTTGACTTTCGATTCCAGTGGGTGGATGCCAGAGGCGTCAATTCTATATCCCAGAAAGTCCACCTGCTTAGTGGCGATGGCACACTTCTCCCTTTTTAGTTTGAGGCCATGCTGTCTGAACCTGTCTAATACCGCTCTGACTCTTTGGAATAGTTGGGGTCTGTCCCTGGCTGAGACCAATATGTCGTCAAAATAAGGTACCACGCCAGGGAGGCCCTGAAGAATTCGTTCCATTAGTGACTGGAAGATACCTGGGGCGACACTAATGCCAAATTGGAGACGCTTGCACCTGAACGCCCCCCTGTGAGTCACGATAGTTTGTAGGTCGGCTGTTTGACTGTCAACAGGGAACTGCTGATATGCTTGTGACATGTCCAATTTGGCGAAAATGGTGCCAGGCTCGAATGTGTGTAGAAGGTGCTGAATGACCGGGACTGGGTAAGCGCTAACCCGGTTAATTGTGGTCTTATAGTCTGAGCAAATTCTCAGACTGCCATCTTTTTTGAGAGGCATGACAATAGGGGTCTCCCATTTAGCAAAATCCGTGGGCTCAATTACTCCTTGCTTGAGTAATTTGTCTAGCTCCGCGTCCAGCTTAGGGCGTATAGCAAAAGGGACTCTACATGGCTTTAAACGGACGGGAACTGCTTGGGGGTCTACAGAGAAAGAAATGGGTGTGCCATTGTAACAGCCTAATTCACTGCTAAATACATCAGAGTAGTCAGAAAATAGGGAGTCGATATCAGAAGCTGAGACAGCATGGATACCCATTATACTAAGGCCGAGATAGGGGAACCAATCCAACCCCAAAAGACTAGGGAGGGTACCGTCAACAACCACTAAAGACAAATGGCCTTTGAAGGTTTTGAATTTAACGAGGAACTTGCCTTTGCCGAGTACAGGGATGTTCTTCCCTTGATAATCCCTCAAGGTGAGATGGCACTTTTGAAGTTGTTTCTTTGATAGGCTGGGTTGGATTTTCTTGAGTGTGCCCCACGAGATGATTGAGAGCGCTGACCCCGTGTCCACTTCCATGCGGCAAGGTTTACCTTCTAAATGGATAGAAAGTGTGATTTTATTAGTGGTATGAAAAGTGTGATTGGCGTGATAGCAAGTGTAACAGCTTTCTACTTGCCTTTGGGGCCTAGAAGGAGAATAAAAAGATGACCTTTGTGGCGTGTTGTGTGTTGCTTGGCAGGCCCTGGCGATATGGCCCTTCTTGTGGCAGTTGTTGCAGGTAGCGTTCCGGAACCTGCAAGTTGTCCGGGAGTGGGAACCTCCACAGGATAGGCACAAGAGAATGTGTTTTGGAGCGTTGCTGTTATCCTGCCTGGCCCCTACCTGTGGCTGCCTCAATGGCTTGAGACGATGAACTTCTGAGTGTTCAGTAGGGTCGTCCTCACTCACCACCTCCTCGGAGTGAACAGTGATGGCACTGGTTTTCGGTATCATGCCCTGGATCTCGGCGGCTGACTGGGATGCTAGCTCTGCTGCTAAGGCTTCCTCAACGGCTTGGGAAAGGCTGAGGTCTTTTCTGGCCAGCAAACGCCTCTGGAGCCTTAGATCCTTGACCCCGCAGACGAGTTGGTCAAGCAACATGTCATCTAGGTAATTCTTGAACTCACAGTGGAGAGCTGCTGTCCTCAGGGCGGCCATGTATTGATTGATGGACTCCCCTTTGGCTTGTTTCCTCATTCAAAAAGCAAAACGCCTCGCGATCCGCGGTGGTTTAGGGGAGTAATGATTAGAAAGTGTTTCCAGCAGCTCTGGCCACGGAACGTTCTTGATTTCTCGTGGAGCAAAAAGAGCTGTTGCGGTATTGAAGACTGCAGCCCCGCAGTAGCTGAGGAAATATGACTTTATCCGGTGTTCCGCTGCATCAGCCAGACCGATGGCATCAATATAGTGATTGAAGCGGTTTTTGTAAGAGCAGTTTCTTAATTCTGTAAGATTGAAGAGTTTCTGTAACCGCTGGAAGAACGGTTTCTCTTCATCCGGCTTAAAGGGCGGAAATGCTGGGTTAGTGTTCATAATGGCGCCTCAGTCTTGGGTAGACTGCTCTCTCTCTCTGGGTATACGAGGCTCAATATGCGCTAGCGTGACCGCAGGCGGCTGTGGCTGCAGCAACTTACCTGGCTCAATGACTTCAGCTCTGTGCTTGTGAGTGTTAGAGGCTATTGCTGTAATGCCGTGACTATCAGCAATTTTGAATCTCGTGCTCCCGGAGAGCGTTGGCGGCTGCAACTGACAGAGATTCAAATTTTGCGCTCTCTGGGCGCGTTGGCAGCTGTGGACACAGCGCCGAGCTTTGCTTGAGTTTTCGAATTCAAACGACAGCAGTTTGAATTTCGCGCTCTTTTCAGAGCAGGGCGGCTGTAGCTTCAGCGCCTGACTTCACTCTCTCTCTGTAGCTTCCTGTGCGAGCGGCTACAGATGCTTCACTTTCACTTAGCTAACTAGCGAACTGACTGAGCTCTCTGCTTCGCGGCTGCGGATCAGTTGCCGATCGTGACTTTCAGCTCAATTGAATACTTCTGGTTAGCCGATCCCACCTTCGTCGCCAGTGTTATGGATCAAGAAATGAGAGGCTAGACCAGAGCATTACCAAGGAATGGCTTTATTCAACGGAATAAAGGGCTGTCGCGTCTGCAGGCTAACAAGCAGACATGCTCAGCGAACAGCGGCTGGCTCAACCTTGCAGCCGGCTTTTATAACCGGCTGTCGAAGGGAGCCAGCCAATGGGAGCGGCAAACGCCCCCGCAATAGGAACGGACCTGGTTGGGAACTTCGGTCAGTCTTAAGGACATAACACTGAGGTTTTACTGATTCAATGGATCTACTCTAAGCATATCCGATTCCATTCCTTTGTCTCTAACATTACGATATATTCTCAACAGTATCATGATATAATATCCAAATCAGAGGTGGTATTCAGCAGGTTCTGACCAGTTCTGGAGAACCAGTAGTGGAAATTTTGGGTAGTTTGGAATACCACTCTGACTAGTCCCGCCCCAATCTATTCTCTACCTCCCGAGTCCCAGCTAATCAGCTGGGTCTTCTTACTCCTGTGGACACTGTAGAGGAGAATGGAGCTGGAAAGCAGGTTGGTGGGGTGGGGACAGAATAGGAATTTTACAGTATCCTTCCTCTGGAGTGGGCTGGGAATGGAGATTTACAGTATCCTTCCCCTGCCATGCCCACCAAGCGACGCCCACCAAGCCACACCACGCCCACCAAGCCACACCACACCCACCAAGCCACACCCACAGAACCGGTAGTAAAAAATGTCTGAATCCCACCACTGATCCAAATCTAGACCCTTATATGCAAAGGATGTAGAACTTTTCTTTTTTTAAAAGAAATTGCCTATTGGATTACCAATCATCTTACAAATAGTATTGTTAGGCATCCAGAATTGTCCATGGTAATCAATCACTCCGAAACAAGTATAATCTCCAAATGATTTATTAGGAACAGCTCTGGTACTCCTATTCAATTTCCAAACTGAAAGTTATTTTCAGCGGGTTTCACAAAATCCACCTTCTCTCCTCCCACTTCTTATATTTCATTAATCACGAGAACCAATTAAATACAGTTGGATTTTTTTTAATGTGACATACCTTGAACTTTCCAACTCCTCCAACCCCCTTTGCGTTCCTTATAACAATCTTGGCAGCTGAATCTCAGAGCTGACAAGTATTATAATTAAAATACCTCCGGATGCCTCAGTAAACCCTCAAATTGAGTATATATTTCTCTTAATCTTTCAAGACTCAACCTATTTAAATTATGCATTGGACTACTAAGCAGATTTAATCGCTAAAACTTTTTACCAGTTCTTCTAAAACAGGAGTCACCTTTCAATGTATTTTTTTTTTAAATCTAGTTTGTATTTTGGGCGCTTTTGTTCTTGGTGGTTTCTTTTTTGCAACATCTGTTGCCAGTACCTGTCACAATAGCCATTTTATAATGCCATTCTTGTTTTTAAAACTTGTTTTAATTGAAAAGAGGAGTGTAAGATTCTCAAAATCTCCATTAAACGGTCAGTTGGTCACTTAAACTTATAGGTCCTTCAAGGAACATTGACTAAGCAGCTCTAGTGGCCTAGAGGTGGAGTTCTTTCCTCACAATCAGGAGGCTGTGAGTTCAATCCTATATATAGGCTAATATTGGAAGTAGATTCTCCTACTTTTGCAGAGGATTGGATTGATCCCTTCCAACTGTGTTATTCTATTTTCTATACTATCTCCTTTTCTTTTTCTTTATTTTAATATATATATATTATTTTATTTTTACAACCAGTCCATCTTCCATTTAAACAGTGTGCTGTCTGGATGCAAATATCTTGTACAATAACCATTATAATTAATACAAGTTTTTTACTGTAATATTAATGACTACATCTTACTTTAAACTACTCTACATACTACATCCATTATATAACGATCCCCTTCTTATTTAACTCTATATTCATATGCTAGAAAAAGACTATCTCCTTTTCTAAGATATTGAAAGGAGAAGGTTACAGTACAATTCCTGGTAACACCCAATACAAATATCGATGTTCATTCTGAAATCATCACATTTCATTTTGAAGAGATAGATCATTCCACCCCAATTATTGAAAAGTATTCTCAGCCATGTTCTGTAAAATTGTTGCACGAGGTCATATAGTTTTGTCAAGAGGAGAATGGTCCTGCCCTTCAGATCCGAAGAGAAAAAGGTGCTTTCCAGGTATGGAGTGCAAGTCCATTTGCCATTTCTTAAACCAGACTGCAATTGAATGCCATTTGACTTGGCCATGGTCTTACCTTTACTTGCACCATTATGCCTTCCATGTGGCATTCTGTTAATGAGAAGTATATATCCATCTTCCGTTTCAACATGATATTCCTCACTTGGATAGTTATGGAAATTGATAATTTCACTCTGTCCATAGGAAGAAAAGATAACAGAGCAAACTTGTGTGAATTTATATTTTCTGAACATAAATGGGCAAACAAGATGACGAATACTGTGGAAACCTCAGGCATATTCCTCTTCCATGACCTCCAACATCAAGAAAGTTGCCAAAAGTATAGACCTTCAAAAGATGGACCATAAGCAAGATCAGATTTATTTGTTGAGGATCCACTGATTAGAGTGGGACACTTGAGCCTAGAATATTGAACCTTTTCACAATATTCTAATTTTCTGAGATTGTGGATTTGGGGTTTTCATGAGCTGTAAGCCATAATCATCTCAATTATGACAAATCACAGCTTGAACTATCTTGCTTTGTATGTAATGAGTCTATCTCATATATTACTGAAATAAATGAACTTTTGCATGATATTCTAAAGTTTTGAGTTTCACCTGTACTTGACACCTGTACTTTAGCATGATGAAAGCCAGCTGGATATATATTAGGTATATTTGTCACCTTGAGTTATTTATAAAAATATAGGTTGGATATAAAAAACTAAATAAAAAATTAAGAAAATGTTCTTGACTTTACTTTTCTTTCATTATTTGGTGATTTTTATATTGTATAAAATAGCATTTAGCATCAAAGATTTCTATATCACACTAGAGTAAATACACTAAATAACCCTTTGAAGGCTATAGATTTGGCAGTGATGCCTCTTTGGCATTTTCTTTATGTATCTGGTTTCAAAATATAACAGTCAAAATGAATTTAACGTACAATATTCATAAAACACTCCGGGTCCAGTTTATAGTTAGTGTCAAGTCTTTCTGAAGTTTCCAGGCCTTCCAAGCTGAGCATTCCATGGCATAAATAAGCCATTATGATGAAACTCCTCATCTTCATCCTATACGAAGCAATTCAGTTATTGATTAACTTTTTAGAAACATGCGTTTCCTGAAGATGCAAAGCATCTGTTGCCCTGAAATATCTTCTGCTATCTGTTGCCTTAACCAGAAACAGTCCACTGAGCAGAATTTTACTTCTAAAGAGAATGGGCACAAATCCATACCAGTTAGAAAATGGCTTCAATCTGAATGAGTGCTGAAAAATAATTAAGCTCACTTCAACAGTGGACTAAACAAATGTCAAACAAGGATCCACATCAAGTTTAAGCAACAGAGAAACCTACTGGCTAGGTTTCATACATATCTTTCTCTCATTTTTCCACATTACCTCTTTCACCTATTTACCTCCTATGTGAATTAAATGATAGGAAAAAGGACTTTAGGATAAACTTTCCAACCAATCAAAAATAGCTGAAGCCATCTGCTCAGTTTTTGCCAAAGATAGCTGCATTCCATAATCTTAACCAGAGGTTATGCTGAATGTTGCTATAGGTTTTGTATAGTAGTGCCGGCGTACTCATTGTTAATTGGTTCCAGGAGGCTCACGGAGTACCAAAAACAATAAATACCAGACACATTTTTCTCATAAGGAATAACATAGTGAGTCTCAAGGTAGCCAAAATTGACAAATTCTAACTTGTGCATTGAGTACCAAATACATGATAAGTATCAGGTCAAAATGTTTATGACAATATGCATTGAGTACCAAATTAAATGGATTTTAAAGCAGTTCGTTACCAGGTACCACTGGGTTTCAAAGTATTTGTAAGACACTATACCATTACATTTTACTTAAAATTCTTAGCCAGGCTATTAGTATATACTATTTGTCCTGTTGCAGGTTCTAATCACACACAAACACAGTTCCAATGGAATTTAACACTTCACTTCAAGATGTGAGAGATAAACAGCGAACCCAATCCAATCTCTGGTCCAAGAATAAAGTCAGGGTTGGCATCCAGTCCAAAGATTAGAGATTCAAGGTTTCTTACACAAATAGAAGCCACACACAAGTATCATATAAGAGGTAGAAATCAGTCAAACCACAGACCCAGGAAAGACAGCATGTATCAGAACTGCTTCTTAAATAAGGCACCAGTCAGCTAACCCTAACCAAGGGATTTACTTGTTTGGCAAGAACTTGCTTTGATCTCTTCTCTACTCATTGAGCCTGGGTGTGGGAAGTCTTATGGGAGGATACTACTTTTTCATCTTGACACAAACAGCAAAATTACATTGGATTCTCTTAGATCAGTTCCAACTGGAAGATTTTTTTGTGCAAAAGCCAAATGTGTTGCAAATAAATACATTAAAAACCTAGACCAAGTAGAGCTACAATTATTTCTTGAAAAATCAAGTGGCCAGGAGTCAAAGAACTGCACAAGCAGTGTGTTTACAACTGGCTATGTGAGACAGCACATCTAAGATACAGCAGATTGGTAAAACCAGCTAAAATCTTTAGGCATATTTGTTTCTGAAGTAGCTGCCATGCCCTATTTCCATATGGAGATTCCTCCCATTAGAGATATACCTTTTTTGGATGGAGTTGCCTTCCCCTTACAGATCAGAACCATGGCCCGGCAATTGCACTCATGCTTGATAGCCCTATTGCAGTGGTAATGGTGATGAGGAGTGTGTGGTTTTATTGGCTGACTCCATATTATGGAAAAACATGTTATTGAAATTGAGGCTGTCCCATCACCCTTGTTGCAATTTAGATGGAGTTTAATTGGTAGAAATATTATATGAATATCTGTAACACTGTCATTAATTAGATTGTGACAGCTTTTCTTATTCTTAATTTGTAAGTCTGTTTTATTTGTTGTGCTGGTTACACTGGAAGGCTGGTAATCTAAGAAGGATAATATTGATGAGAGGTAAGGTATATATTTCATATCTGGAATATTCAAGTATTATGCAACTGTATTCAAGCAACTGTATTATGAAAAATATCTTTCCTCCTTTTTAACCTCAAGAAAAAACTGCAATAGCATTAGTCTTTAGGCTTATTTACTTCTCCATAGCACTTCACAGGATTCTCTGAGTGGGTTATAATGTAGAAGCATTATTTGCATATTGCCCCAATAATCTGGCTCCCCATTTTACCAACCTTAGAAGGATGGAAGGTTGACCCAATCTCAAGCCCTGGCAGGATCGAACTGTAGGCTATAGAAGTTGCCTGCAATCCTGCACTTTAATCACTGCTCCATCAGGGCTCAGAAAGAGGGAGCGAGACACACAAAATCCAAAGTCTTTAAGCAACCTCCCACCATCTCAACATAAAAGCAGACTGTAAATTATAGAAAAAAGAGGTTTCAGGAGAAACGGAAGCCTACGCAATACTGTGAGAGGTGGTGAGGAGACCAATATTTTCATCCAGCCTGGGTAGTAATTGAAAGAGTGCCCACTGGAAAATATAGGGACTGAGCAGAACTATAAATGTTTAGAAGGGGGCGGGAAAACCCAGGGCATGGATAGTTCATTGAGATAACGGTCAGATAAAAACCAGAAATTTAACTTCCAATCTTCTGCAGACCATATGAGTCCATCAACCCAGGTAAAACTGGCTGCACAAAGCAGCAACCAGGTGCTCAAAGGAGAGGACATGACATGTGATAGTTGATCAGAATTAGAACTATCACTAGATCAGAAAGAAGGGCTTAAAAAGCATTGTTTTAAAGCAGAGCTAATACAGGGAGAGGTGAGTAGCAATTTAACTAGGTGACTGAAGCTCCTGTATTCATTCACTATTTTATTGAAAGAAGGCACTAATACTTTTTGAATATGAAAACAAATTCAGTGTGCAGATTCATATAAATGAATTTAACTAGTAAGTGATTTATTAATTTCCTAGCCCAAAGTTTCCCAGTCTATTCAACTATCCTGCTCCTACAGCCTATTTGGCATTATATAGTCAGTAATATACTCTAGAATCAATTTGGAATAAACATAAAGGTTGTGAGATTAAAAAAATATATTTTCATAGATTTTGTACTCACTGATCCTAAAAATATTCTTTCAGTCACCGATCCAGTTGTTTCTCTTAATCCCTTCTTCTATCACCTCTCTAGGAGACTTTCAAGGTGAAAGAATTTCTTTCAAATCCTGAACATGTAGAAAGAGTCAACATTGATCACCCTTTCTGAATATCCATGAGTTGGGTGTTTATATTTGTAGGGAGAAAACTTTGCTCATGAGGTTTTCTTTACAGCCACTTTTCTGTCCATAGACATAGAATTGCCTGTGAGAATGTTCTCAGTGGTTTATCCTTTTGAGCAACATCAACAAGGGAGGAATTGCTTGTACAACAGTGCTTCCCTTAAAATTCAGTTCAGATAATGAGGGCTGATAGAAATGAAGCAAAAATACAATTGCTTATGAAGCTTTTTCAAAAGGCAACTGGACTTGGTTTTCCTTGAAGACTTTTTGTCAGACCTGCCCCAGTCAGATCCCTTAGGAAAGAAAGACCCTCAACTGCATTTATGTGAAGTGATAGGTTCTTTTACTGAAGGTTGCTCGTTGCAGTAAAGTCGGGCCATAACTGAAGTTTCCCACGCAAAAGGAGATAATTCCACCCCCCCACCCCCGCCACTCATTCCAGCCCTCTTCCCCTTTGACAAGTTCATCTTCAGTCAATGGAAAGTCATCTAGGTGTTTTGAGAATCATTGAGGCATTTGGAGCAATCCATATTCCATTCTCAGGGTGCCTGGCCTTGAGTGCTGGCACAACTTGGTTCTGTGCTGCCCTGGTCTTTGTCAAGCTGTCATTTCCCCCTCCCTATTTCCCATCTCATCCCCATACATGTTTATTGCCCATTTGTCTCTCTAGCGCTTGATGTCAGGATCCTGGCAAGGTGCCAAGCCAAAGATGACAAGACTGATATTCTGTTCCCCTTCTCAGAGATGTTAATCTGTAGAGGAAACAAAAGAAAAGGGGAAGAGACAGATGCAAAGGCATCATTAATTTGACAGTCGCTGAGGTTTTTCTGGGTATTATTCGTGGAGCTTCTTAAGTAGTTTGGATGCTTTAATATGTTTGGAATCCATGCACTCAGTTTCAAAGGGAAGGATATACCTCAGTGCATGGGACAGTCCAATATATCCTTGACCTCACAATGTTGGTCTCCTTTGATCATGATGGGATTGGGAGGAAGTTTTGCTTCTAGGGGTTGGGATGAAGTGATTTCCGGTTTTAGGAGGCTGCGGTGTTTTTGCTAAGTTCAACAGGCCCAGGATTAATATCCCCTTTTATGGGGAAGGGGCCAACGTACTTTAGACCCAGTTTTGGGGAGGGTTTTCTAGACATCAGGTATTTGGTGGACAGATAGACTTTGTCCCAAACTTTAAGGTACTTCAACTTTGAATGCCTTTTGTTGGTTTATTTTTTATATGCTTCCCTTGCCCTCTCCAAAGCTTTTCTAACTACTGGTCAAATGTTTTATAATTGCAAAATCCATTCTTTTAAGGTGGAAGTTGGTGGCGGTAGCCTGGGGCTGTTAGGGGATAGATATAAAGTCCGGCCCCATGGCCATCTTAAAACGAGTGAATCTAGGGGTGGGATCTGACTGGTGTAACTACTGGTTCATTGATTTATTTCTCCCTGCTCCTCCTCCTTCCCTCATGTCAGCCGTTCTGTTTCCTGTTTCTCCATTGTAGCTCAGGATCCACTTTGATGGAAGGTGTAATTTAACAACCGGTTCATGTAGGATTGGGTTGGCCATCGCAGGAGGCTCGACCGACATGTGTGGCAGAACTGAGACATGGGGATGGACCATGCCTCCCACGACAGCCAACCTGACCATAGGCAAACCAGTTGCTAAAATATTTGAATCCCACCACTGGGGAGGTCCTCCCCTAGAGATGCAGCCATTGTAGACATCATCATTCAGCCCATCCTGGAAGCATTCAATCAGCATGCCTTGTGATGTAGGTCAGTCAGCATGCCAGATACCAGAATTCTTGGGTGTAGGCAGCTACAGGTCAGCAACTCTGG